TTATATTTTTTTTATTACTATACACTTTTATTCATAATAAAAAAATACAGTTTTTTCACATTAATAAAAAATCACGCACTTTCAAATTACTTGTAATAAATCTAACGGTACAATAAATTATAATCGGTGCAAATTTTATTCTGTTAAATATTGCGGAAAAGTTTATTTAAAACTACTTATATAAAAAAATGTAACAGTTAGTTTTTAAAAACCAATACTCACTAGTCTTACTAATTTATTTCAATAATTAAAAATTACTTTTCGTTTTTGTCAGCAAATTTCGTTGCAATAAATCTCGTATGCGTCGCATGTTGAAACGATATTTTGTAATAAAAGCATTCGTTGTATGCGGTACTAAAGTAAATTCCAAATCAATATACAAATACAAAAACAAAAATAATTACATTCCATTTTATTTTTGTAGAATTATTGCTAAAAGTTTCCAAAAATTAAATTTTTAAATTAAAAATTAATTTTAGAAAAAATCGTTATCAAAATCATTTAATTTCGTTAATCGTTTGGGTTTTGCTCGTTAATTAATACACAAATTATAATTAAAATTATATTAATTAAGTATGCAGGTAGTCAACTTAACGCTACAACTCTATTAACAAATTTACAATACTTAAGTATGTGTGAGTGCGCTTTACACTATGCTCTAAAATCCACTCATTTCAAAAGTCACTCAAATGCTTAAACGGTGTTTATTTATATTTTTCGTTTATTTAATACCAAACACTACCAAACTTAACAGTGTGCAAAGTTTTCTTTTCATAAACACATTTCGCTTCAACTAAATTGTCGCCATTATACAACTACAACAACTACCAGTGAGCAAAAAAGAAAAACTCAACAATATTGGTTTCGAGTCAAACACTCAATGCGACTCAAAACAAAACAATGGCTATTATGGTTATCATGCCGATTATGATTAGGCACAATGTGTACAGATCTGTCGGTGTGATAACGCCCAACGAACAAGCCATGAGCACGTGCTCGAGTGTCGTTAAGCTACTCGACGCCGCCGCCGCTGTCGGGCGCAATTCGCCAAATATTGAGAGAGCGCGACGTTCTTTCGTGGCTTTAACCGCCGCCGCCGCGCTTGTTGATGGCTTCTCATCTTCCTCCAGCGCATCATGCCGGCGCCACCATGGTAACAGACTGCTACTATCTGACGCTGCTGTACTACTACCAACCTTTAACCCCTTTTCCGGCAATGCTTCGAGCGCCTCATTGAACTGCTCCACTTTGGCGTTGCATTGCGTTATTTGTGTCAGAGCATCTTGTGCTGTACTTTCGCTTTCAAGCTGATCTGCTGGCGTAAAACTGATCTTCACTTCCGATATGTTGAGATTTAGTGATGGTGTCTCATAGACTACGCTGAGTTTTCGTCGTGGCGTCTCGTGAATTTCATTGTTCATCTCTATGTGTTCGCTAATTGTGTTCTCTTCTTGGTTGAGAAGCGCAGCAATTGCATCATCCTCTTCCTCGATGCGCGGCAACTCATCGATATCTGTGAGATTTCGCTCTAAAATGTCGGAGAATGCTAATCTCAGTTGTTCGAGCTCGGTACTAATGCACGCTGTTGCAGTGCATTTCAGTTCTTCGGCGGAATTGTATTCGGAATCTGCAGAGTACGCGTCCGCTGTTGAAGCTTCACTATTTCTGCGAGAATCACTACTACTTCTCACCAGTTGTGCTAATTCTATCAAATCTGCGTCGTCGAGCTTTTTAGACGATCTTGATTTTCGCTCAATGGGCTTGGGTTTTCGTTTTTCAGTTCTAGTTTCTTCTACAGTACTCTCTTTTAGTGAGTTTTCTGCACCCAGACTTTCACCCGTGAAAAATATATTCTCATTTCGGCTCTCAAAGTCATTTTCACTTATTATACTCTGGTCTAATTTTTCTAATTCACGGTTTTGTGAATCAAGCATATATTTATTCGAAGCACTTTCTCCTATACTCTCCCTTTTCATATCATTTTTACTCAAGCTACTTGCTTTACAACTGTTTTCATCAGTACTTTGTGATTCAAAACTATCGTAAGTTCCTCGCATGTTCTCTTTAACCTCCAACAAATCAAACGGGCTTTCTAATATTTCCCTGTTATTACTTTCACTTGTAATGTTCTCATCCTGAAGTTCTACACTCTCAATCGTTTCTTTCTCAGCATCCCCCATACTAATAACTCCTATCAAACTGTCCAGCAGTTCTTCCTCACTTGGTGGCGGTGGAAAATCCTCAGCATATGTTTTGCTTTTGTATTCACTCTCAGTGTTGGACTCAACAGCTGTGCGCTCTATGGCTATCTCACTAATGAAATTTCTTTTCTTTTTCTTAATCTCAAAACGACTATTATAGGCGCTTTCCAGCTGCAGGCAGGCATTATTCGTTTGTGTATTCGTGAGTGGATAATCAGCTAAGCTAACATTACCCGAGTCTGGATTGGACGAGGTCTCATCCTCACACGAACTCAGCGACGAGTCGCCAAGCGCACTGAGCTCTACATTGCGTGCCGGCTCAGCTCTTATACCATCGACGATAATACTTATTTTACTAGCATAGATCTTATTAAAATTGGGCGACAGTTTTGGAGACGTACACTCCGACAATTCGTCCGCATGAGTCTCCGGTATGGATGCAAGCTTATAACTACTTGGACTTAAACTAGTGGATGAATTTTTGAGGTTGGTATTTATGGCTATGGTAGTGGGGTTATTGGTTGTTATGTTACTAATACTAGTGGTAGTGGTGGTGGTAGTAGTGGTGTCTTTAACATCAACATCAACATCAATAACAACAACTTCAATATTATCATCAACAACAGCAATAACACTCAGAGGCGCTGTGTTATTAGTGTTAAGGGGCGCCACGGCTTCGCAGGCCTCGGCAACAGCAACAATATTGGGATTAGTGTACAGCTGGGTAGCATTTGCGGTAGTATAAATAGTAGTAGTAGTAGTGGTAGTAGTGTTGGTAGCAGTATCGAGCATGGTTGCATGGAGAGCGGATGCATGACTGGATGATGTCAATGGCGCGCTTGGCACATGAACTGATTTAGTAACTGCGGTTTTACCTGAAACTTTTGTAGCTGACTGCATTTCTTTGGCTTGTTGTTGGGCGCGTTGGCGACGCGGCTGCTCGTCAATACCGAAAATCATTGCCAACTCCTCGGAGGAGTTGTACTGCGATGGCGAGGAAGATGGGCGTGTGCGCGTGCGCTCCTGCGACTGACGCGTAGCTGACGCCGCGCGACTACCTTCGGCAGCAATGATGGCGGCAGTTTCACTGACGGGCGTCAGATTGAGTGGCGGCGATGGCGAGTAGCTAAATGTGCTGTTCGTTGTGGCGCTTATATTCGGTGTGGCGGCGCTCGTAGTCGATTTGACATCGTACGAGGTGCTACTGAACGTTTTTATTGGATCGGTGCTGGGTGCATGATATTCACTACTTGGTGACTTAATATAATCACTGGAGGAGTAAGGATTGAAGGAGGTAATGCTCGAAGATTGTCGTCGACCGGCGGAGGGACTCGAAGATTTGGCTAGGCAATCGCTGGAGGAGGAGAACGAGGAGGTCGTCGTGCTGGCGCCCGGTTTGGCTGCGCCCACAACGTTATTGCTGCTACTGCTGCTGCAATAACTGCTTGTGGTCATGCTGGGCGCTGTGGTGTGATCATCGCCACTGCTGTTTTTCGTATGCGCTGTGACCAGCGCACGTGTTGTGGCCAAAGTGCGTTCCGACAACGCTATAGGAGGCGGCGCTGTAGTCGTTGATGAATTTACAGTATCGGCACGCATTTGTTCCTCGCATTCTTGCATAATTTGATCGATCTCCTCAATGTCTGGGTGCTGCTTCGGCGCCGCAGCTGGCTGTACGGGCGTCACTTCTGCAACGGTAGAAATGAGATTATCAACTTTTGCCGCTGACGCCTTGGTTAAATGTTCGACGTTACAAGCAACGGCTGTGGCGGCTCCGGTTGCGCTCTGCTGCTGCTGTTGTTGGAGTTCCTGGTTGAGGTTGTCATAGTCGGGATTGTCATCGGCCAGCGCGCTCAGTTGGCGCATGCAACGTTTGGCGATCGCCTCGATCTGCTCCGATTGTATGGGATCCAGTTTTTTGATAAGATTTGGCATAACGAGCATTTCAGTGGGTGTTTGCTTATTCTTCACCTGCACTGCCTCCTGTATCACTACCGGCGGTTCGGTGGTTACAATATCCTTTAGTATTTTCTCACATACCGCATTTGCCGCCTCGGATACCTGATCGATAGCCTCGATCAATTTGCCCTCTTTGTGCAGTTTGCGCGGTTTCGCTTGTACCGTGCTCTCACTGGCATCCGGTAGTGTATCTAAAAGCATTTTACCGCAACGCTTGGCCGCCTCTGATACCGCTTCGATTTCCTGCAAGTCCTTCTCGAGGCGTTCTTCCTCAGCGCTCGCCGCTTTCGGCCGCGCGGCAGTTATCAGCGCTTCCTTGCGCAGCTCTTGCAGCTCTTTTGTCAGTTTCTCCGACTTCTCTTGCGCATCCATGGCGATTTTATTTAACGCATCCTCCATTTGCGCATTCGCTGCGGTCGGTTCGGGTGTGAGACTCTTACGCGGCAGCGGCACTGGCGGTTTGTGCACTTCCTCTTTGTGCGCGCTATTGGTGGGCAGCTTTTCGGGCAGCGCGCAAATGGCGCCACCTTGACTGGGGTGTCGGAAGGGTATCGCGACTTTCTTTTGTGGTGKCGGCTGCTGTTGTTGTTGTTGGTCCTGTTCTTTGATATTGCGCAGCAGCGCTAGTGTTGTGGGCACATCCGCGGCCGTTGCGCCAGCATCCTTGTGCCTGTCTCTTATACACATCTCGACTTTCTTTTGTGGTGGCGGCTGCTGTTGTTGTTGTTGGTCCTGTTCTTTGATATTGCGCAGCAGCGCTAGTGTTGTGGGCACATCCGCGGCCGTTGCGCCAGCATCCTTGTGCAGATCGGACATGCTGCCGGCACGCTCTAGGCTGCGCGTCAATTCCAGATAAGAGTGTAGATCACCGCCCGATGGCTTTGCGGCGTCGCGGTGTATAAGATTATATATGTTGGCGGACTGTGTGCGCGTAGCACGATTCTTTTTCTGAAAAGAGCTGTAAGGGTAGATAAACTTATCTTTGGCGCCTGGTGGATCCTTGCGCAAGGCGCGCACCGCCAAATCATCTTTAACTATATCGGGCGTATTCATCGATGCGATGGGCTCTACAATAGGCGTAACATGCAGATAGTCGTTTTGCGGCGCGGCAACAACCGGGCCAACAGGTATGCCGAACGGTGGCTGCTTTTCCACGGTTTTGTGCTGCAAATTCGCCAACTGCATGTTACGGTAGGCCACATCGTCGCGTATCGGATCGGGTTCGCCCGTAGGCGAATCCTCATCATCATATTCGTGCGCATGCGCCAAAGCATACTTTTCAAATTCGCTTGGCGTCGGTACGCGCTCTTTCTTCTCCGGCTCTTCTGTGAGACCAAGTGACTTATAGATGGCTTCGAGTTCATTGATTGCCTCCTCCAAATTGGCGGGCTTCTTACGCGGAAAATATATGGGCAGTTCAGGCGTCGCGCTGCTTGGCGGTATGGAGAGTTTACGTTGTGGCGGCGTTGGTGGCGTGAAAATCGGTTTGTGATGCTGTTCGCGCTTCTCAGCGACATACTCGTCATATTTATTCGGCGTATTGGGTATCTCACCTGAGCGCCGCTGATAGTGGTTTGGCATTGAGCTGCTCTTATTGTAATCCTTATTACGTATCTCCACGAAATTTGAGTTTGAGTCCGGCTTGGACTTTATATGCAAGCTGCCGCACACAATGTTGTCTACCTCATCCGCGCCGTGTGGCGGCGCTGCTTGTGTACGTTTCTTATTTGGCTTCTGCACTTCCGAGTAAACGGGTATTGGGTAGGCGCGCAATTCGGCCACACGTGAGCTGGATATCGAGCGTGGTTTTACATTGCTTTCCTGCGCATAAGTGCGCGCAGGTTCGCGTCCGCGTTGATGCGTGCTCGCATCCAGGCGCTTCCAGAAATCATTAACTTGCATTTGTTTGGACGACGCAGTAGGCAGACCGCTCTTGGAAGTGCGTAAGATGCCGGTGGTGGCCACGTCATTGCTCGCCGCATCGAGTTGCGGCTCCAGCATGTGTATGGGTTTGCGTGAGCGCGGTGTTGCATCGGCAACATAATGAAATTCGATGCCGTTCGGCAATGATTTCTTCGCGGGATGCGCGTCACGTTCAGCGCGCGTTATAAAGCGACGATGATGTGGCGTACCCTGTGGCATGGGTTGCGTTACACCAGCGCTGGGCGTATTCAATGAATGCACTGATTGGTAGTGTGGTCCCGCTGGACCCGACCAAATTTTATCATCCGACACACAACGACCGCCCATACGCTGAGTGGTGGCCGACAACGTCGGCAAACCGCTTTGGTCGAAGGCGTACGAAATGGGGCGCAAATCGCCAGCGCTGCCATTTTGCATTTGTCCACTGACATTCACGCGTCGCAATGGATCACGCGGTGGCGGCGGTGGTGGCAATGGTTTGGTCTGCAAGCGGCCATTAATATTCTGCAAATGTATGTGACTGTCATAGCTGATGCTGCGTTTGCTATCGTTGACGGTATTTTGCAAGTTCTTTGGTTGTTGCTGCAGTTGGCCCCACTGCACGTAGGGCGCAACATGTTGCAGGCTGCTTGTGTTGCGTAGGCGCGGTGTGGCGGCTGTAGCTGCAGCGCTGATGTTGGCGTTGGCGGTGGGCGCTTGCGCTGTTGGATTGTAAATGGAGAGCGGCACCGGCTGCGTTTTCCAGCGTTGTGTTGGTTGCGGCGCGTACATCACCGGCACCTGACCGCTGCTGGGCTCGCCATCGCGCGACAAGCGCTTGTAGTAACGTTCATTGCGCGCGGCGCGACTACGCCTGCTGTTCTGCGCATTAGCGGCGCCCTGACCGCCGCTGTGTATACTCTCATCACTGCGATATTTCGAGAATGTCGATGAGTTCAGCGATATCAGCTCCTCCTCACTGGAGGAGTGCGCACCAGGCGCCGACTCATGCGGCAGCCGTTGCGCTGAGCGTGTTTTAAGCGCGGCCCTTGCAGCGCGTCGATCCAGTGAATTGGCGGAGCGCGTATATGCCGCCGGTTGTGCGCCATGTTGGAGGTATTGCGGTTGTTGATTCTGATAGTACGCCTCGGTGGGTGATATGGTCTCCACAGGCAAAAAGAATTCATGATCTACATGTGCCGGCGGTGGTGGATGTGGTGGTGTGTATGGTGCGCCCGACGTTTGTGGACTGACAACGATATGATCGAAACTGGCGCCATTCAATTTACCGCTACGACTGACTTTATGCGATTTACTCGCTTTCGTTTTTAAATTGGCACTACTGCCAGCGGCGCCACTAGCGACGCGTGGCGGCTGCCTTTGTTGGTGTGGCACAAAACCAGCTTTACGATCCTCTTCGGAGGACGACTCCGTAGCGATCTCTTTCTTGCGACGAAAGAGACGCCCGAAGGACCACTTCTTATTCGAAGCGTTTGCCGTTTGGGGCGTTTGTTGCGCCACAGCTTGTGCACCGCTTAGTGTATTGTCTTTTCGGCTGCTGCCATGTGACGTTGTGCGATGCTGTGCGGAGCGCTCCATATTGGCGGCGTCTGCAGCAGCGGCACTTTGCTCATCGGTGGAGTCGCTGGCGTCGTCGGCAAGTTCTTTGGGCAACGGCAGCTGGGGTCGCCAAGATGTTTGGACAGTCTGTGTGGAGCGAGAAGAGAGATAAAAAGAAAAAAATCATGAGTGCTGGAGTTTATGGGAGTTCAAAGGAAATTATATTAAAATAATTTGAAAGAGCTGGCAACTTTCTATGTGTCCGTTGCGAAGACACATTGGCCTTAGCGCGCTGTTATCATAATATTTATATAATACAATAATACACCTTCATCGCTATAGTAATCACATCACAACAACTCTTACAAACATATTTGCTTATTAAGCTTTGAATAGACCTTCGCGTGTATTTATCGCGTTGTTCGCGAGTTATTTATTATTTGCACTTAGATTGCTTGGCAAATATTAAACGCTAAGGAGAAGTTTAAATATAACTTTAACTATTATATTGTACTATTATGTATAGTTAAGTAAATAGTATGGTACTTATACATGTATGTGCTTGTATGTATGTGTATGTAAACACAATGCACAGAACAACGACTCTATTCAACTTGTCGTCGTCGATCAGCAAATGTGATAAGAAGTCGCTTGATTGTCATGTGTATATGTATGTGTGTATGTAGGTAAGCATAGGCAGTGTTCTTGGTAAGATACTGACTAAAGTTCTGTGAGAGATAACAAGAAATTGCAGAGGTAAAATCAGCAAAATTTACTCTAAGTAAGACTTTTGCAAATTAATATAGTAAAAAGCAGAAAAAATACACAGAATATATAAGAAAAATAATATAAAAACCTAGAAATAAATCAAACAGTTCGTATGACAGCATTTGTAGCGTTGCCTAGAACAATAATCTATATCGAGTTTCATGAATATATTATATATATATTACCAAATATGACCGCTTTCCATATAAGAACTTAATGCTCTTGATTTGCATCAAAAGTCACTGACAGTCATACCAACTTGGAAAATAAAAGTATTTCTATGAATGGGTTTTTGGGCGAAATTTAATCTAAAAAGTCTTACTATTTTTTGCCCACAGTAAGAAAATAAAATAAAAGGTTAATTAAACGTCCAAATGAAAATATCAAAGACAAGAACCAGTTTTTGTACATATATTGGAAGAGGGGGAATATCTGGTGGATGACAAACTAATTATACTAAAGACAAGAAATATGTATTATTAAAGAGGGTTACCACCAATTGGTCAGAAAAGTTATATATTTCACGATGGTTATCAAATTAAAGAAATTAAATTACGGAAAAGAACCAGTTTTTGTAAATATTTTTGAAGATGATCAAATAAATTGTATATTAAGTAGTATTATCAAAAAATAAAGAAATGTAATATATCCTCAATAATGATATGATATTTATCTTCCTTTTGAGCGATCAGTTTATATGACAACGTTCCGATCTGAACAATATCTTCAGTGTTGCTTTGAATGTTGATAATCTGTGCCAAATTTCGTGAAGATAATTTAAAAATGAAAGGAGTTTTCCATATAAGCACTGGACATTGAATGATTTGTTTTTATGGCAGCTATATCTTACAATGGCCTGATATTTCCCATTTATGTATGGGTATAATGTGTATTGTAGTATGTGGTTAAAACTAACTAATAAATTGTTGTAATCGTTTGCTATATTTGATTTAAGCGAGTTGTTTGTTCGATTCACCACTCTCCAAGCCAAAGTCTTATGAATCGACTATAAAAACAGAACATATACTTCTTTTAATTTTTTATTATATTATATTTTGATTTTGATTTTATTTTGAATTTACATAAAAAAACTAGCTCCTTTATGAAAAACATAAAAAACTAGCTCCTTTTTGAAAAAAAAATTAAATTACCGGCCTTACAAAACGTGCATGAAAAAGCAAAATAATGAATTTATTCTCCAAAAAGAGCATTAAAGAAAATAATAATAAACCTAAAACAGTGTCCAAAACTTGTTTTTGGCAGACCAAATTCAAAACTAAAACAAACAAGAAATTAATATTAAACAGTTCATTAAAGTGCAAAGTATTTTAAATTTAGCAAACGACGTCTATATGTATTAAGACATATACTAACTCAAGTTTCCGCCACTAAAATCGTTTAATTTCCTCGTCGGTTAAAAATGTTTTTTTTTTTTTTTGTGCGAAAGCAAAGAAATGTCTCCAAGCATTACTTAATAACGAGAGTTACTTAAGCAAACCTCTTGGACCTAGCAACTGAACTCCATCTGGTATCGCGTGGATTATTGGCCACCAGTTTAAGCTAACCTGAGCAAATGGATGCTGAGAATCAAAAATGTGGAAGGCACGGTGTCCCTGCAATGCAATTTTAAAACTAAGAAGCGGTTTACAATATTTCAAATTCATTGGCACACAGAAATAATGACAATGATACCATTTCGAAAAAGCACCTCAAGTAATAATGGTCAGAAACTACCCAACTGAAAAGTGTTAGCATAAATTTCTATAAATTTAAGGGGTGTCAAAAATGCACTTATGCACTAAAGAATAATTTTTGGTTTTATAATAACTCAAGGGACGTGAGGTGTCAACGGCAAAGTTTTCACAAACTCCGGTTTAAATATCTATCTTTAATATGCCGAATTATTTGTATATGATTTGTATATGATTTATTTAATAAATAGTAAAAATGCTATTTCAACCCACTTAAGTCATTACAAACATAAAACGAAAAAAAGCTTTTTTTTGCGATCATGTACAAGTTTAATGTCAAATTAAAAAAAAAATGTAGTATTTAAAACAGATCACAAAGGCTGGGATTTCACCCCTTAAATACATATGTACATAGACAAACATAAACCACTGTGAGGCAGACGGCATATTTCTCTCAACAGCAATTCGGTTAGACGCCATCTAACGAACGCCGCACGGCTGTTATGAATTTGTATTCGAAAGGGCACTCATCACAATTGTTATTTGGAAAAATAAAACAAAAAAGAAATGAAAATTAAACAAGTATTGGAAAGATGAGGAAAAGAATTGAAAAAATATAACAAAAATAGAAAAGATTAGAAAAAAAATTAAAAAAAAAA